TATCTTTTTTTCCTGTTTACTTATTCATGAATTGTTGTTGGGTTTTCTTTACTTTTCTATTTATATACATATATATATATATAGTTAATATAAGATTTACTTCCAACAGTCAATTGAATTCGGCTGTTAATTTACGTTAGCTGAGTGTCACGTGTAAGTTAATAAACAAATAAAATTAATAAAAAAAAGTAATGGAAGTTTTTAAAAAGCCTCCTGTCACAGGTGATGAATGGGTTTGAGTATAAATTGGTTTGTACTTTCAATCTCTAATTAATATTTTTTAATTGTTCATATTATAATAATGATTGCACCATAATGATGTTTAACATAATGTTTAATGCCGTGATATAATTAGAATTAAGAATTTTACAATTTTTTTTTTTTTTTTAATTATCTGACTTATTATCTGACTTGCGTCACAAACTATAAAAATACTACGTACACGCCTCTAATCCCTTTGAGAAGTCAATGTAATTATATTGCTTATTATAAAAATAATAATAAATTATGGAAATGATAAATAGCGACAATTAACTCAATAATAAACTTTCTAAGAAATCCGTGCACTTGTAACATGAGAGAAAGGCCAGTCGACATATGACCTGATACTTTGAATATATTTTTACTGAATAACGAAGCATTTTTAGATGATTTTCTTTTTTATCCTCGTGACGTACGATCTTAACATATAGACACTCTTTAAGGAGGCGAAAACTATCTATTTTCTGTATACTCTAAATGATCCTAAGACCGATACTTAAATCAGCCTTTCCGAATAAGCCAAGCTTCGTATAATAAACGCTTGTTACGCTTGTAACAGCGTAGATAGCACTGTAATCGCCATTTATTTAGCTCCTTGATTCGAAATCCTAAAAAGCCCAAAAAAGTAAGAAAACCCATTGATCAATACATGGGGAATATTTGAATACCAAAATTCTTGAACGTCATTGGAGTTCATTAGTGAGTCTGAAAAATTGCATAACATTTTAAGCATATTGCGTTAGGGTTATTATCAGTGCAGATCGGTGCGCGATTCACTTCTTCAGATACCGGCATGCCTTAGTGAACTTCCGAAGAGTAGGTTGTTCGGTTGTTATGTTTCTAACATGGGCTTTTATGGGTTGTTGTTTTTGTATTCGCGCTACTCGAGGGAAATTCTACTCTCGTCTGCTCTTCCGCAGGTCGCCCATCGTGGACCACTTAGAATTATTATGTTTTAGATAAGTATTCCATATAGCTGTGCATTATTCCTTGCAAAGATGATGTTCTTAAAATTATCTTAAATATATATCCTATCTGATCTTTTTAATTTTTATACATCGCGCGTAATTAATCGTATATTTTCTGCTTCGGTTATTCAGCGAACCAACAACCGAAAATTCGCTGAGATATGCAAAAAAAGTTTCAATGGGAGCAGAGAGTTCTTTATTTTAGCCATAGGAAAGGGTAGGGTAGGTAAATTTCATATATAATCTTATTATTTATTATTATTTATTGTCAATGTTGTTGTAATAGAAACAAACGATATGTCTATAAGACATGACAAAACTTTAAGGGCAAGCAGAAGAAGAGGAAGAACCAGTACGATATTCATTCCTTTTATCCAAATTTTCGATAGCTTCCTTCGAAACAATATTCTCTTGCTTTAATTGAAGAATGGCTCTGGTATTGCAATTTGTCAACATTTATCCAAAATGATATCCTTTTCACTTAATGCCTCACGGCATTCCTTCTTTTGTTTTTGGATTGTACACTACAGTATTAGCTCTTAATACGATTTCTTCTCTTATTCAATACGGGTTTATAGATAGAAGTAAATGTACGTTTAAAGGCCAGGTCCCGAAATATTTTTCCAGATGCCAAGGGAGCACTCGATTCGAGAGTAAATCCCGATAGTATCGACTACGAAGGTTTTGCGCTCGATAGTAAGACGATAATGCGCGACTATAATCCCAAAGGAACAAATTATTATCAAGTTCACTCGATGTCGAGAGCGATAAACCCGCCTTTGCTTCAGTTTTCATATCATACATATTTCGCCGTTCCAATTGGCATTATTCTTATACGGATTTCACTAAAAACTCTAGCCAGAAACCTGGTACTGGTTCTGTTTACAAGGTTACCCCAAAATTTGCGCAAGTCTTGGATTAAACTGAAAACAGATTTATTTATTTTTTTTAATTGTAATTGTTTTTCATTGAACAATAACGTGCATAGGATAGGGTTATGTGTGGAATAACATATCGGGCCTTACTGGCACATATGCATTCGTTTACCGAAATTTTCCAAGACCACTTTACATAAATGTGATTGAATTTCAGTGATGCAGCGTTGAACGCATAGGTGATTATCGACTTATTGGCATTGATCTTTCACGTCAAAAAATCTCATAAGGAAACATCGAATGAGGTTAGAGCACATGATTTAGTTGACGAAATCACATCAATACTACAAACAAATTTGCGAACTGTGGCCGCCAAACTTTCATTATTTTTGAAATATTGTTCAATAATAAAAACACTTTGGTCTTCCGGGCAAAGCTCCGTTTTTATTATAATAAACTGTCAGCTGGCAAACTTTTTTCTTTTTCCGGCTGCCAACACTTTACCGCACAAATTGCGGAAAACGCAAATTTTGCGTAAAATATGCGACACTCTATATCTAGCGAGCAACTTTATGTTGCTTCCTGCGCTTGTCTACATACTTTTAAATGTTGAAAATATTCCTTAAAAAAAAAAAAAAAAGGTGAAAATTTCACCTTCATCTTAATGAACGCACAGTAGAATTCGAAAAATGTTCGTCTCAAGAGTAAAAAAGAATAGATTTGCGTTACAATGTTTCTAAAGACGGTTTCGCACACTTGTCGGACCTAACTTAGCATAAGTGGTTACCAAGACATCAGTGGTATATAGGCTCGTATTAAAATCGGTGCAAATGCAGTTTTTGAAATTTGTTTCGCTTACCGTGGTAAGCTCAGAAATGCGCACAAAATCAACTTTAATGATTTTCCATCTATGGAAAGGAAAAAGAAAGTGCTTTGGCGATCACATTTGAATTTCGAAACTGATGGGACGACTGGTGAGCCGTTTGTCTATACGTATCATAGATCATATGCACAAACGTGTTCCAAAAATTTATTAGCGATTATAATACTATCGCGCGAATTGAAAATTAGATTAGATTTCGTTATTGTAGAAGCGATGCATATTAACGGTATTAATTTTAAAACTAATAAGCAACAATGTAAATGAAAAAGAAATGCGATTAATTTCCTAAATCGATTACGAAATTGAACAACGTTTGTAATTAGTGTGCACCTATAGCTATTTGATTATTTAATTCCATATGTTTCGATTTTAATGCTACACTTAACCTTTCACTTATCAATCTTGCTTATTATTAATTTGGCATTAGCTATTAATGTCTCTACGCTTTACGTATGAAAGTGTAAGCATTTCTAGCTTGGCTTCGCCTTCACAAAACACGTGACTTTTCTAATTGAAATGAAATAAATAAATGAATTTTGTTTTTAAATATAAAAATGTTTTTTTTCTTCTTCTTCTTCTTCTTCTTCTTTTTGTTGTTCTTCTTCTTTATCAATTCAATTTCCATGCGTTTTGTTCTACTTAATAGTATACCCTACAGCATTTGTAGTATAGAGTGTATTACGGTACATATCGGCACACTATATAGAATTCGTATACCTAATTCGACGCGATGTACGCAGTAGGAAGCTTCGGAGATCGTATAAAGTCTATATATTATTAATCAGTATTGAATTCTGAATCGATTTAGAAAAGGTATCAAAGGGATCGCCATTGAAAATGAATGAAATCGATTGAAGAGTACATGTCAGCTTATATCATCTTTGCTTTAGGACAAAAGCTTATTTTACAATACCACTGCCACGATCTCATCTAAAATGTAAAACTTTCATCTCATCAAGTTTATATAGTTCGTCTATTCTGTGATATCGTATAAAAGTGCATTTTGAAAAATATGCGATAAGATATAAGATCAGTCGAGCGATAGAGAATGAATCTATTTTCGCTCTATCATGGAATTAAACTCGACCGTAATGTGCTGTTAAGCATAAAGAAATTCAGCTTGAGGGGAATATAATTTGTTCCTTCTCTTTTCACTTGTTTTAAACCCTTGGACTTTAGTGCAGCTTAATTATGGCAATTTTAATGAGTAATTAATCATAAATAATTCATTGGCTCATTATAAACAAGATATATAAAAACACAATTATCGACGAAAAATAAGAAAATTCCAAAACAAAATTTTATGAATATTTTTAAATCATTATCACTATAAAGGAGCTTTGTACCTGCAATATATATTCACGGTCAAATTGTAAGAAGACTTTTTGAAAAGAAATCCGTTTCAGTTGAATTATGTGCTGGCTACGAAAGAAAAAATCAATTAAGATGAAATGAAAACCAGTTTTGTCCTTTAAATCGGAGCTTCTATGTTCATTTTTTATTCGTAGAGTTCGTGGAGTGCATGAGATCTGTCAGCATGCTGTCGAATGAATGAATTTCCTTTCCCTTAACGAACTAAATTTTTCACTTATATCATAATTGCTCAGTGCTGTCAATGTTCAGAAACTCTAGTCAAACTGCAAACTTTTTATGCCATTACATTACCAACAAAGAGGTCTCGATTTCCAGAGTTGAGTTTTGCCGATCAAGAGACAGAATTTACAAAAATAAATTTTCAAATTTTTACCTATTCTTCTGTTTGTGCTTATAGCAGACAACGGACAGACGGACGGACACTTATGTAAAATTAACTTGACAACTTACGCTGATCGAGAATGTATGTGAATATGTTATTTAAAGAAAATTCGTTGCGTACTTTCGATTATTACAAGCGAAACAATGAAATCTATATACCTATCATAATAGACTTTATAGAATTTTCAAAATTTAATAATTTATTGTAACTCTGTGTGTTTCCTCTTTTTTATTTTCTTATTAAATCGTATAATCAAGGATACAATAGAGAATTACGAGAGAATTTTTACACGAAAAGCATCGCAGTTGGGATGGAATTGAAACCTTGTTTACGGGAGCAGTTAGACGTTGAGTTTCAAGATGTCTTCTATAGCGTGAAAATCTTTAAAAATTACGGTGAGTATATTGTATTAAAAATTGTTGTACTGTATGAATGCACTGTCCAGGCACTGAAGACTCCTTCTGACAACTCGAAGAATGGCATAAAATTCATGTATGGATTTAAAAGCCAATTCGAAAATTTATTCAAAAAAATTTAGTCATTTTAACAGCAAAAACAAAAATCAATCTGGAAGCTTTCTGAAAGCTAAGCACTCTTGTTACCATAGTATGTGCCCATACGTTGGTGTTGTGGTCGTTCGTTGTTGAGCTACTTTTTGTGCAACCAGGCGTGTGTGTATTTATCAGACTTAGCTTTATGGAACCACACATCATTACACCGATTTTATTTAATCAATTTAGTAGTAAGTCCGTCTATGTCCTCTTGCTTTTATTTAAATAAATTTTAGAGCAACCTTGTAATGCCACCATAAGAGGAATGCAGGCCTATGAGTCATACACACGTGCCATAGCTGTACTAGCTAGTTCGTGAAACGGGTGGGGGGGGGTCTATATTTTTGATCATGGATACTCCTAGGACGGTTGGAAATTGCACCTACTTGCCCTTTACCGAATATGCGGACAGACGAAAGCCTAACCTACCAATCCTATGTACCCCTAGAGCCTTTCAATACCCACCCTGCCTGTTGGTCTCCCTTCGGCCCTATAAAGTTCCTAGGCAACCCCGAAAATCAAGACCAATCATCTATATCTCCCACCATTAAGCTCTTTCTCCTGCGAGCACTTAACAATCCTGTCCTGGGGGAAAACAAATGAAACAAGATTTGCTAAGCTAAAACCTCATATTAGGCTCTATCGTTACGAAGCAGAATGTACTTCATCATCAACTAAAGCCACTTTTGCACATCTGAAGGGGCGTGATTGTCTGAAACTTTACGGCGGAGGCGGCCGTCATCTAACTACAAGGAACAACTGTGACTATCGTATCATATCGTATCGCTTGATATTGAAAAAGGGGACAAATCGGTTAAAGGAGATGCCCATAGCACAACGTAAATTGGGTATATCTTCGTTTTCAAAAACAAAAATAAATTAGGTCCCTTGTTTGCTGATTATAAATTACAACAATAAAAATGTATATATATTCGCTATTTAAATAGACGTGGAGAGTGTATTAAATTCCGCCATAACTGGAATACAATTTTCTTACCTTGTTTTTAGTTTGTGCGTTTCGTGTGTTTTGCAAACACCAACATTTAAGTTTGAAAGAAGTGTAAAAACTCCAACTAGTTTCAAGGATTGCAAAACTTCTACTATAAGTGTGTTTAACAGATCATGTTGTGGTAACGTTACCATCAATGACGCAAAGTTATAGTAATACAATGAAAAGCCACAGTAAATATAATTCTTTTCGCAACAGATATATAAAGTTTTAATTTTCAATTTTTTTTTTTTGCTCAGCACTGAACGACAGGCGGTATATTCATTATCTCAAAACGTTTGCAATAGTTAGAAAGGCGGTTCAGAGATCTAATAAAGGTTATAATATAGTTCTTGATCAATATGAAATTCTAGCTCAATTTACGTTTGTCCGTCTGTCCGTCTATGTAATGTCTGTGCAGCAAATATCAAGGTATCGACTTCAAAGTTGGTGTTGAAAATCGACCGAATCGGTGCAAGGACACGCCTACAGTAGTACGTGTGCTGAAAACGTCTCTGTTTTTGGAAGAAAAAAAAAAAAATTATATTTTCCTGATAACTACTTTAAACTACATGCATAGATCCTATGGGCTATCCTGTAATATTTGGGCAAAAATTTTAAAAAATCAATCACACCTCCCCACTCGACATTATTGCATGTCGAAATTATATTTCTCCAACATCGAAACGTTTGTAGCGCCCAACGAAGACGCTACAGAAATTTTCTTGCTTCAACCACGCCCAATTTTACGCCCAATATTACAGAGTATAAAACTTTACATTTTTCCGTTTTCTCTTTTACGCCCTTTAACATAAAGATGGTGAGTAAAAAAGCATTCGGCTAGAGCTGCATATAATTTTTTGATTTTTTCGTTTGCGCTTTTCACGTTTTTGGAAAACTGTGTACGTAAAACCAGTTTTCTTAATAAATTTGAAAACGAGGCATGCTATGAAACAGTATTTTTCTCATTTTCCTTTAAACTTTAATTTAAAAAAGTAATTTCATAAAGTAAGTTTATTGCATATATATATATATATATATATATATGTGTATATGTGCATATATAATCTATAGACTATAGTCATTTGTCTGAGTCGGAGTTATCCCTTTTCAGGGGGGAAAAGCACAAAAAGAAAATATTCACGAAACTTTGTTTTAGTAACCAACTTAATAACGCCTTTACCACGAATGCGATAGACGCCCTAAGGAAATTATTACGTCGACTTTCAAGGCCATTGCTCACAAAAACGCAAATGAGATCTATTTAGTCTTTCAAAGACGAATTTGTGCGCTAAATATGTTGAGGAGATTAACAAGACGCCTGATAGATGCGTAGTGTAAATATATACGGACACGGTTTCATGTGCTTGTGTGCATCTGTAGTATGCATGCATAAACATGTAATATTACATTCTCATATGCATTGCATTTACAATACGTAGTTAGTTAATCTTTTCCTTTTTTAGAACGAGAGACAAACAACTAAATGGAAGCATAAGGTAATTGCATTTAGAAGTAACGAAAGCAGGAAACAGAAATAGAGTTAATGCTAGTTTATTAAAAATGAACATTGACTACTAATGTTGCTTATCATAAGCAACGCAATTCGCTTTTTGTAGAGTGTCGTCATCATTGCTGTATTTGCCGCGCATAAATCACAGTATAAACTGGAGAGTTTATACAGTATATCACTCAAGGGATGTCGCCTATTCATGTAACACGTTGATACGGTCCGAAAGAAGAGTGGAAGGGTAAAGAAATAAGATGGTGGTGCTCGCAGCAAAGGGGGTATGTGCCCAGTCGATAAGTGTTATACCTGAGCATTAGCTATAATTATAACCAAAAAAAAAAAAAAAAAACGCTACCGCACATGAGGTTTCAACCTGCGAACCCTGATTCAGTAGTCGTAATTATTGCCTATCCGGTTACTTAGACGGATCATTTTATACTTAGCCCCTTCATAAGAGCGAATCTGCGTTACCGAGCCGATTTACAACCATCTCCGCAATGAAACAACGATTACAACGTCGAAAATTTCACAATTACAATGAAAATTTCTTCATATAATTTGAGTCACCTTAAATTTAGAAGGCAGGTCAATCAATTTGTATGTCCATCCATAATTATCAAAAAATGAATCATTTTTCTTTTCCTTGTAAATTGTGCGCCCAACTTTCAGTGTTAGTTTGCCCAATTAAAAGGCACTGCGATTTTTATCATATATATACCATATACAGTATACATGTATTCCATCATATATATTCGATGCAGTGTAGGACACAAAAGTGTTAGGTATTAAAACAATCGACTCAAGCTGAATACCGGGTTTTTTTGTTTTTGGTGATTTTCCAGTCGCATTTTACTTAGGGAATCCTGTATATTCGGTGTAGGAATGAATTCTCTGTATTGAAACTGACTGCTTTATAGAGCACATCAAACGCCTTCCTTTCATTTTGGGTGTACATTAAATGTACAAGTTTGCCATTGGTATTTGAAATATTTGAAACGATCATGTTCGCTTGGGATCAAAATACAATAAGCTATGAAGCCATTTACGAGATTTTGCGCAAAACATTACAGCCTTGAAGACGTTGAACGCTCCGGAGCTTGGCGGTAGGTGTAAGAGGAATAAATTCGACGCTTACTAAACGAAAATCCAGCATAAAGTTCAAAACAGTAGCGACTTACTCTCCAATGCCTGACTCCTTCTGATTACTGCTTGTTCACATCGATGCAGTCATATATAATTATTTCGATTATTTATAGATTTTCTATCGCGCTAGCATCTGCAAGCTATCCGTGACCGTAGTGACTGTTATGTATTTCACTTATTAAACTTTGCAATAAGTGTATGTCGTTAAATTTTCATTTCATCGCCAACTATAGAGCCCTTGTTTATACGCCAAGTACAGTAGATCAAGGTGAATACCTTCAGTTAAACGATCGTTAACTCTTTGAACTTTGAAAAAGCTTAAATTAATCCACAGTTCTGGTAGTCAACAAAATGAACAAATACAAAAATTATATGTGATCCTGATCGAATTTTTTGAAATCCATCACCGCCTAAAAAAAGGACGCGGCTGATTACTCCTATTTGTAGAATAAAAGTGGAGATTGAAATGATGTATTTTATGAGTAGCGAGCAAAAAATATGGAAAATAAAGGTGTTCACAGTGTTTGCTGCATAGACATATGGGCGTGGTACGTGTACCCATTGACCGACTTGCGTCATTTCAAATTCTTTTGCAAATTTGCATGCAATGTTTTCATTTCAGCGAACGGATGAATGCCTGCCACAGATAAAACGGGCAGACATGCTTAGGCGCATTCCGAATTTGAAACTGGCCAAGAATTCATATGCTTTATGGGGTTTTTGAAGCTTGCTTCTGTGCGTTGTATAAAGGTTGTGACAAAATGAATACACCTCTCATCCTTCGGTGGCGGGTAGCAAAATGTGTGTGACGTTATTCATGATTTTTTTTTTTTTTTTATTGCTTACAACTGGTCTGTACGGCTTTGCAATTCGTCTTGAGTACATACGTTTCCCTACACGGTTATATTATACGAAACAAGTTCGAACAAGTAAACTTTAATATAGAAAGTAATGTTAAATGAATTATCGCATACTATTCATATATAAAATTGCATGGTAGGATAACGGTTACCAGGAGAAGAGAGAATTGTCAGCGTCGTTAATATCGTACATGCATCATAAATTCAATATATCAACATTTACACAATTTGTACACTCCGATATGGCCGATATGGACGTAGGAACGTAATGCCATCTTTGTTATGCTATTTTCGTTCCTTCATTTAAAATGAACTCTATCCTTTCATAAAAAAAAAATAAAAA